TTCTTTATAACATAATATATTGTGATTTCAAATTTGGCTTTGTTAATTGGTCAATTGTCGCATCACAGAAAAAATGTATTTTAAAAAAGTAGAAATTTGATAATACAAAATACTGACTCAATATCAAAAATAAAAATAAATGTTGTCATTTTTGCTTTATTTTGGGCATGTACACTCCCTACTCACCAAATGATGCGCCTGTTACTATATTATGCATAGTATATTAAAATATTCAACATAATTTATGGACTTATGATTTTTCTTACCTCTTTTCTTGTTAAAATGATCAATACTTTTCATATTTTGAAGGTTTTCAAACGTTGATTGCTGTAAATCTTCATTTTTCAGTTCATTCTCTATGAATTTTTCTAAATATTTGCCATTAATTGATGTTAATGTTGGTTGATAAAAATCTTTTATTTTCTCCAATTTATCATTCTCTTTAACAGCATGTATATTCATATCCTATTTACTCAACAAATAAATAAAAAGTAGCAGGTGTAATTATTTGTTCATTACGAATTCATTTTCATTTCATTGCTCATCAGTATTACCTCTAAAAACTGTTTAAATAATGAAATAATATTTTCATTTGATAATTTTGAATCATTACCARGCTCCAGTCCATTTGAACTGATTACTGTAGTTATCAATATTTGCAAGACTATTATTTTCCACCAATATGTTGACATATTTTTATTGTCTGTAAATAAATTATAAAATAATTATACCTATAAGTTATTAATTTGTCATTCTTAATTGTACATGTTGATACAATTATAGTTATATGCATTTTAATTTGTTCCTAATATTCAAATTAATGTTGACAATCACTAATATTAAATATTATTAAAATTTATGTCTAGGTTACCAATTATAATAAATTATGTAATTAATTAGTTTTAGATGGGTGTGTGACATTTAAAATAAATGATAAGTATGATTAATTTTAGCCTTAATTAAGTCCAATTTAATTCACACRGTGAAAGAGAATAATTAAATGTATAATTCTACACCTTTATAATTTTATTTAGAATATAAATTTACTGTATASTTAGTGGTATGTCATACATGTGTGCATATATAGATTCTTGGATAGTGTTGCCCATTATGAGAATGTGATCCCTGCAAGTGTTTTCTTCATCTTACAAATGCATAACATAACAAATTTTACGCTCAGCATATCACATTAAGCTCTGTTAGTTTAAAATTTAGAGTGAATTGATCTCTTATAAAAATTAAAGGTAACATTATTATTGAGGGATTCTCGTGGGCTTTTTATTATATTTTAATTTTAAAGTGAGTTATGAGTATTTTAAGATATACAAACAATTTACAATTTTAAAATACTTATAACTCACTTTAAAATTAAAATATAATAAAAAGCCCATGAGAATCCCTCAAAAATAATGTTACCTTTAGTTTTTATAAGAGATCAATTCACTCTAAATTTTAAACTAACAGAGCTACACGTGTTCTGCTGAGCGTAAAAATTGCTATGTTACGCTCTTGTAAGACAGAGACAACACATGCGGGTATAATGTCTTCTTATTACTCACTATTAAGATTTTAAATTGATATTTAG